CTCCACATGAAGAGCACTTGGCTGATTGTTGTGCCTCTATAGCGAATCAGATTGCTATAAGGGGGAAAGGGATGGTCTAGAGCATTGGAGCACGGTGGGGTTACTCCTGTTTTTACTCGAGTTAAAACAAACAAGGAGGTCCCACATGGCAGAGAACAGCTCAAGATAGGGAAAGATGGAGAGAACTGGAAGAGACCTATATCCAACAATGGAAGGATAGAGAATAGGTTAAAAAAAAACACCTTGCTCCAATGAATTGTTACACCCGATCGTACTACCTGGGTGAACATTTCTCATAGGCTGGGTTCAATCAAATTGCTTGCTTGAGAGAAGCGAGTTAAAGAACTAACCTGGTAAGAACCGTTCTCGCAGTTCAAGCTGGAGTATGGTTCTGGTAAGAGCTCTAAATACGGATCTTGGAGTATTTATCTATGGCCAAACCGTTGTAGCCATTGGAAACCAAGTATTGAATGGTCGCTCTTCATTTCGTCTCCATTTTAAATAGTGATCGATTTGGCTACCTCTAATCTAGACCATATATTAATTAGTCTCCCCCGATATTTGGCTACTGGCGGATATATTGTTCCTTTATTTCAGCCTTTCTAGTATCGCCAATATTTTTCGCAGGTATCCAAGACAATACAATCCAAGAAAACAGAAACTGGCAGAATTACTAAAAAAGAAAGAAAAATAGTTTTCCTTGTAGTTCTATGTCCTTACATTTATTGGCGTAATATGATTGTTCATGTCATGACGTTTTTTTTTTTTCGAGCTGACCCTCTTCTTCCGTTTATCTTGCCTTTTAATATTAACTGAAGTATATTATGATGCATAACATGACCAAAATATTTGAATTTGCGATTTTGAACTATTTTGACAACTTCTCCCATCAGCTACAAAACAACCCCGTTTCGTTACGAACTCTATCTACTTAGTTTATTCGCAGAATTCTCCGATATACCCAGATTTCAAAGGTTTCAAGTTTTTTTAGAAGAAAGTTCCACCTTCGACATTGTATAAAAGAATGGAGAACACATAACATCTTATTAATCTAATTTTCAGTCTTAAAGTAAAAAACGGCCAAGAGGGGCCCACACCCTTGAGCGCCGAGTAACCGAACTGAGCATAGCCAGTGGGAATTCGGGGCCCGGGCAAGCAATACAGAGCGATGATTAAGTCACTCGAGATGTCGGGAATAGAGTACCTCACGCTGTCTTGCCTTGTTCGGGGTAGGATTTCGTGTGGGGGTCCTTGTATCCTGGACTCTGCTGATAGAGAGCCTCTATAGCGCTTTAGAGTGCTATCGGACTGGGGGAAGTGATAGGTCTGGAGCATTGGGATGGAGTTGAGTGATTCCTGTTTACTTGAATTAATCCTCATCGTCCCAATGAATTGTATCAGCCGAATGTCATTCTTAAGGGATGTGCAAGACTGGATTAAATATTATTGAATACTTGCATTTGTTTATACAAGAAAGTGAATAATACCATTAATGAAAATCTATCTACGAGATATTATCCGATGGATTAGAGTAGATAATTTTGGATTTTATTCTTATAAAACAAACTTGGATCCTTTTTTTTCTGTTATTACAAGTCGATTTACACAAAAAAGGTACTAGAGAGGTGATATCTAAGGATGTTATCCCAAGTGTACTAGTACCACCCAAGTGTGGTGGTTTAACGATTGAAAAAATGTCCAACTTAAGAGAGCAAATAAAATTTGTCGACCCCGACTACAGGTGGTTCTACAATGAGGTATTAGAACAAAAGGTTGAAAATCCGAAACAGAGAAAAACAAAAACTGATTAGCGTATTACTGTTTCACTTGATTAAGATTAAACAAATGACGAAATGTATTCGATTTTCAGGTTAAAGCTAGTGGACAAAGGTATTATATACATAAGAGTCTAGTTTCAGAAAATCTTGCTGTTTCTTTTTAATATCATATTTTTTTGTTATCTTACAACTTGTATATCGATTTCAAACAGGCGTTTGATGGAGTAGATCGACAAAAGATGTTAAAGCAACTATCTATGTTATTGATACCCAATAAGTTGGTTAAACTTATACGAATGACTCTGGAGGATTCCAAAGCTATGGTTAGAATAGATGGAGATATGACGCAAGCCTTTCATATTGAAAATGGAGTTAGAGCAGGTGATGACTTATCAACAACACTTTTTAATCTAACTTTAGAAGCTGTTTTTAGAAAACTGGATATAGACGGCTGTATTAGTACAAGATTAATGCGAATATGCAGATATGCGGATGATGTTGCCATAATAAGCCGCAACAAAAGGGTAATAAGCGAAAAAGTTCTTCTTCTTCTTCTTCAGCCTGTGTTCGTCCACTGCTGGACATAGGCCTCTTCCATTTGCTTCCATCGATTTCTACTTTTGGCAATTCTCATCCAGTGCTTGCCCGCGACTTGTTTGATATCGTCTGTCCACCTCTTCTGCGGTCTGCCTACTCCTCGCCTGTTCTCTCTTGGTCTCCAGTTTGTTAATCTTTGTGTCAATTTTTCGGGATTATCTTGGGCAACGTGTCCGACCCATTGCCACTTGAGCCTTGCAATACGTTCTGAGACATCAGTAATTTTTGTTCTTTCACGAATGACGTTATTTCGAATCCTGTCTCTCAAACTAATCCCTAGCATGGCCCTCTCCATTGCTCTTTGGGTTCTACTGAGCTGCTCTAAGGTTTTCTTTGTGAAGGCCATGGTCTCCAGTCCATATGTAGTTACAGGCAAGATACATTTGTCATAAACTCTACGTTTTAGACACATTGGTATATCTTTATTCTTCAAAATAAAGCTTAATTTGCCGAAAGCTCCCCAAGACAGTTGTATGCGTCTTTTTATTTCGGCTATTTGATTTTCTTTGCCGATTTTAATAGTATGTCCAAGATATATATATAGTGGTCTACATTTTCAAGACTGACGTTGTCAATAACAAGATTAGTTTGTAAATTACTCATTATTTTTGTTTTCTGAAGGTTCATTTTGAGACCTATTTTATTTGACTGCTGGTTTAATTCCTTCAACATTTGCTCCAGTTTCTTGATAACTGTATTAAATAAGACTATGTCATCCGCAAACCACAAATGACTCAAACGTACACCATCAATGTTTAGACCTTTTTCCTCCCAGTCAAGCTGTTTGAATACATTTTCCAATGCTAAGGTAAAAAGCTTTGGTGAAATAGTATCACCTTGTCTAATACCTTTATCAAGGCGCATTTTTTCAGTTTTTTCGTCTTCATTAATTTTGATGTGGAATGTGGCCTGTTCATAAATGTTTTTAATGAGTGTAGTGTACCGTGAGTCTATTCGAGCATCCTTCAGTGCTGACAAAGAGGGCCAAGTCTCAATACTATCGAAAGCCTTGTGAAAGTCGATAAATGCCATATGTAAAGGTATATTATATTCTGTGGTTTTTTCTACTAGTGTTCTGATGGTTTGTAAGTGATCATTAGCGCCAAACCCTTTTCTAAATCCCGCCTGTTCAACCGGTTGATATAAATCAAGTTTTTGTGTTATGCGGTTGGTTATTATTCTTGTTATCAATTTGTATAAGTGTGACAACAAACTTATAGGTCTGTAGTTTTCAATATTAGTAGTGTCTCCTTTCTTGTGTAAAAGTATTATTTCGGCGTTTTCCCATAGGCTGGGTATATAACGAAATTACGCTGGGTATTATAGTGAAAAAGTTCTGTATATATAACTGAAACGAGAAGCTGCTACGTTTCAATCAACAATCAACATGAGAATCTGAAGGTAGACAACCATACCTACAAATATACCTAAACTTTTCACTACCTAGGTTCAATAATAGATGACAACAACACCATCAGTCAATAAATATAAAGACGGATTCTTAACGGTAATAAGTGCTTTTATGCATACAAAGACTTAATGGAAAGTAAGTTACTGAATCGTGAGTCTAAGCTTAGAATCTACAAAACAGTAATTAGACCAGTGGTCACATAAGAATGTGAAACGTAGACTCTCTCAACCACTGATGAAAATCAACTGAGAATATTTGAGCGCAAAATACTAAGAAAGATATTTGGACCAACCCAATGCAGCGATGGTTCGTGGAGAATTAAAATGAACCACGAGCTGGATGAACTAAAGCAGATCGCAGATACTTTTAGATTTGTAAAGTCACAAAGACTAAACTGGCTTGGTCACCTCCAAAGAATGCCAGATAATCGAGTTTTAAAAGTAGTCCAGAGATGGAAGCCCCAAGGAAACAGAACAAGAGGAAGGCCCTGTAAAAGATATATAGACGACGTAGAGTGGGATCTTAAAACCATGAACATCAGGCAGTGGCGAAGAAAAGTATCTGACAGGGCGGAATGGAACAACATTGCTAAGCAAGCCAAGACTCACAAAGAGTTGTAGCGCCATTAGAAGAAGAAGATTTATCTCTTATCAAAATTATCTATTTTTTAAGGTCTCACTCATTCAAATCAAAAACAAAACAAAAAAATTGTAATACAAAACGCGTTTTGTTAATTTACTCAAAACTTTTTAAATGCAACATGGCACCTTTATCATGTATTTAATTATCAGGAAAAATGTCTTACTGACCATAAACAACCCTACATATTTTTCTTTAAGTGTCACCTACAGTGTAACTTCAATTCCGAACGACTTTAGTACAGGTGGACAGCAATTTGTCGAAGCCTTCGGAGAGATGACCTTGTTCATACTTTTTGGTTTTATAATGAGAATTGAACCCACATCTTTTCTACTATCGATGGATACACTTACTTGTAAACTACCTAGGTTGTTTAAGTCTATTAGTTATCAAAAATTAAAGATTACAATGTGGTTTTTCAGCTATTTTACCACAAATATTTCATTAACAGTAGGTGAACAATCTTGTAGCAAATATACCTATACTTCTGCATTATGAATGGACTGGGCATACGGGAAATATCTATTCTGTAGATATAATTCTTTTAAGTAAAGATACCATATGTAAAAAACCTAAAAGCTTCAAGTATGTAATATTAAATATGTATAATGTAGCAATAAAGGTTGTTACTTTACAGTTCCTGAATGGTGTATCATCAAATAGTTTACATTTCAAAGAATCATCGCTTGTTTAATCTCAACCATAAGGTCAAATACGTCACAGCGTGCATAACACACCAAACAATAACAATCAATATAAAATTTGATACTAAATCTACATCTAAAATATCCATTTCCGTAAGGAACTTGTGAGGATCTTTATAATGACAGTATTCCTCCTCTATTGGACAAACCAGAATCTCTCGGTTAAAGCCGTAAATAGTATAAACGACGCTATGGAATGCCGCTCTGAAGTAACTGATGAAAAAAATCGGTTTGAACATGGCAGGAGCGTCAAACGCTCTGATGCAGAAGCCGAAGACTGATAAGAAGCAGGCTATCACTGGGGCGACGAATACAGCTACCTGAAATAAAAAGATAATAAGAACGAATAGAAAGAAAACAAGTATAAACAATGCACGTAGCAATTACAGTGATTTCAATGTTTGATGTAAATACATTATTATTTAAAAACTATGTCCAAGTGAAGGTAAGTATTTACTTATTCTAAAAATAGTCAACTAATTCTCGTGAATGGACTACATATTTTGTTTAAAATAAGTCGCAAAATTCATCGCATTTTTTGAATTTTGGATCACAAATTGGAAACCTCAAAGTAATAATAATGACATCAGTATCACTGATATTACACATTTTAGAATATAAAACTTAACATGGTAATCAGTATTTAAAAAAATACTAATGTAGCGAGATGATTTTTGTAAGTGATAAGTTGATTGTGGTAACAATCGCATTCATTTATTTTATTATTTAGCAGTCTTAGAGTTTCATCTGAAGTTTTTTCATTAACAATGTATTTTATAAAGACCAATACCTACTCCGTTTCTTTTTTGCTGTGCTAGATTCAGTTTTATATATAATGGTCTATCTATAGTATCATTTAGTTGATATAATTCATCCAAATGTCAGTGTTCTCTTATCTAGTAAATTTTTGGTGTATTAAATAATATACTGTACTGATACATTAACCTCGTGTTTAAGATGACGCTTAAAAAAATTAAAATTTTACCAAGTACTGTAAGGGCTAAAGAAAATACTTCGCCCACAAAGAAAAATCATTACGAATGATGATTTAAGTTAAGATTCCCTTTAGCCCCATTTTTTAACCTTGCACTTTTTACGACATATTTGGAGTAACCAAAATGATACATTCTTAAACAGACTAGTGTAATACTTAATTGATGTTACTTTTCCAATCCTCCCGAGGTTAACACCATCGTACCCAGGAGATATATAATACAGGGGATAAAGTGTTGCCTTAAACGATACCCCAGAGAGCTGAAGAACTCTGGGGTATTATAGGAATAGCACGGTTAGAACGCACTTCCATGCCTGACAGTATTTTATTCTTACTCATGGAAAAAATATAGAGGATAAGATAAACCAGAAACGAGATCAAAGTTTAGAAGAAGGCTTAGAAAGAAGTAGCTCTTTTGAGCTTACAATTAAAAACATAACGGAAACGGTGAGAGAGGTGGGTTGCTAGTTTTGTATCTGTCCCAAATACTCAGCAAGAAGATATTCTAACAGTTTTTCATAAAACACCTCTCTGGAGCTCAACAAAAGAGAATAAAGAAGGTGGCAAAATGGCCGCTGGGACATGAATCAATACAAATTCGGATAAAATCAATGCGGGACTACCAGCAAAACCTATGGATAAAAATAAAAACCAAGCGAATACCACTAACTCCTCTTCCACAACAAAAAGTTGCTGAAAACTCTAACGGTGGTATACAACAATCTCGAACAAGCAGGAATTAAAGCTCCTTTTAGAAGTCAAAATCATTTTCTACAATTCCATTAAACATAGTTTAGCAAAGGAAACCTGTGAGTAAACTGTACTAACAAGTATACCAAAAATAGATTACTAAAGTGGCCAAAACTATGAAGGGTCTGCTAAAGCGAGCAAGTTTAAATGTGGCCGATCCCAATAATACTGATGAAACAAATAACAAGACTAATCTAAGAAAATAAAATCAGAACCTTAAGACAGAAGACTAGTTGTTAAAAATCTGAAAATAAAGGACGGGGTGTAAATCCTAGTCTATATAATCGACGGAAATCTCTTACGAAGCATTAAGGGGTGCTCATTTTAAGATGATCAAACTTGAAAAAATATCCTTCAAAATCATAAAAAGCCTCTATGGTTCCAATGAGAACTAGCATGGTAATGAGGTATCGGCAAAACTTTTATTTCTACGAGAAGGTTCGATATAGCTTAGATTTGCAAGCCTTGGATTAATAAGTACAAAATAAGGTCTGTCGAATATTAATGGATAGTTTATATATAGCCGATCTGCCGAAGTTTTGAAGACTTATATAATATTTTAACCACATATCAAAACATTACCGTTGTTTATTGTTCCAGAGATTTAGCGACGGTAAATCACAAGAACATAGAGGGAGGAAGTATAAAAGGCATATTTCTCGGATCAGCATACTTTTCATATGATGATCAGGAACAAGCACCACAAAGTAGTTGGAACAGCTAGGGAGACTTTACAGGAAAATGGGCTGAACTTGACCATCGGCCATGACTTAATACTAATGCGCAATTAATATTAATGCGCATCATCTGACCTGGAACAGTACAAACACCAATGAAAGGAGCGAGTCACGAATACAGTGTGTTGAGGAACATGATTTAGACATACTAAACCTAACTAGAAAAGAAATTAACTGGTGTGCTATTTAAATCATCGACACATTTGTTTTAAAATAAGAAATAATTAGTATATTAAGGAAACATGTCGTAACCCTCGTGAAAAAAATTGTGAAGCATATTGTAACAATTTATTATTATGCTTATTGGGGTTTGAAGGAGGGACTAAACAACAAATGGGCTTGGGAATGGAGTAAGCAAATAAATTGAAACGTTGGCGAACGGCTACTCGTGTTTTGGTTGGAAAGCTGAATTGTGGATAAGGATTCCTTTATTTGGGGAGGCCTGGAAGGAATAAATACAAAAAAAAATGTAATAAGAAAATACTTACAGAGATGTCCTAGACAACATTACACAACAAGATTCCTAAACTATTTAAAATAGGACGCCGTTTAACAAAAACCTCTCCTTTGGAGAGAACTTTCTTTTTCTTAGATTTGAATACAAAAAATACTGTCTCACACAAACTTCAAACTATCTGGATTCGAACCTTGGGAGACACAAAATGAATCGCTGTCAAACACCAAAACTGGGCTTCAGATTATTCTAGATGATAACAATATGTATTTTTTATAACTCGGCTGCTTATTTTTCATTCAAAACCATGTAGGCCACCTACCTTTCAGAAACGCTGTTATCAGATCCCTTGACACGGAATATAGCAACAAACCGGTCATTATCTCACTTACAAAAACTGCCACAGGCACGCATTTTAGACTAAATCACCTTTTTTTACCAAAGCTCATGGAATTAAATGAAAACTTGCCGATTTTTGAAACTCTAACCCAAAAACATGCTGCCTTGTTCAGATCCAAATTAGTTTTTTTTTTGACTGCTACACTAATGTTAATGAGAAAATTCTTCATGACTTCAAAAATGAAATCGACTATTTTCGCAGCCGATTCATCGAGTAGTGCTGATCTCATCCCCCAAAATTTTTCTCTTGTCAGGATATATTTTTCCACCAACCTAAGTTAAAAAATTCCTGCTTATTTCGTGCGTAAGTATCTAGACGGAATAAAGAGCAAATCAATCGAAAGAGCAATTTATGTTATTATAAACAGTGATATGCTGAATGATATTAGGATTGATGTTTAATTTTTTTTCTCTAATGCGTTTTTTTAGCTTTTTTATGTTATCGGATCTATTTACATACACTTTGCTTTTTAAATAATCCCAAAACTAAAAGTCTAAGGAAATTATATCTGAAGTACTAATTCGCTATTTAATATTTCCTGATGGTACTTCCACATCTCTAAAATGAGACGAGACAACGTATTGTGAAAGCTAGATGTTATTAGACGATACATGTGGACCGTCTTTATTAAAAAATCGTGACTGATAAGAATGTGATAAAGTCAAAAAATAAAATGTCTAAATAAACATCTGTATTCAAATTTTCATCGAAAAAATGTGGGCCCTTCATCCAATTTCAAACAATTCTAGACCAACCATTGTATTTTTATGGTACGTGTGTATGACCTTCTTAAAATCAATGTGGATTTTTCGGACATCAAAAGCATCCATTTTATTTTTTTAAAGTTTAGTTTAAGCTAAATGTTGCTTTGTCGGAAAACAGGATACAATTTTTAGGTTGGAAGGTCTTTCGAGTACATTTGCAGTCGTTTCACAAAATTTCACTTTCTTTTCAATGTAATTTATCCACAGTTCTTTGTCATTTACCCACAGTTCTTGCTTGATATTGACTTTAAATATCAATTTTCATTTTTGAGAGATCTGTAAACTGTAGATTTTAGTATTCCAAAATTTTTACCTATAGAGTTAACCTAGACAGGATGATTTTCAACAACACTTAACATAACATTCTGACGATCATTGTTGCTCATCGGTTCGCTGATTGTCGCTGATCTAGGCACACCTCTGTTGCTCCAACTTGTATCAAATTTCCTCCTTACATCCCTACAGGTAGCATTTATCATTTAGCCTTTGGCGTTCGACGTTGAACATAGGCCTCCCCACATTTCTTCCAGATTTTTCGGTCTTGATTTTAACGTTCTCTGTCCATCGTGAAGGTGGTCTACCCCAATTCCCCACTGCCATAATTATTTATATTGTTATTTTATATTTACTATAATAAAGATAATATTTACGATTATAACTAGTTATCATTAAACATACATTACTAAAACTGTTGTAAATATAATACATTCTCTCTTACCTTAACTGGTGTTGTGGCTCCTATAAAATAACCCATGGATTGACCACAGAGAGAACAGGCTGTTACAAAAATGACAAACAAGATTAACCTAAAATCTAATGGTTGGTTAGTTAACCAGTAAGATACTGCTATGTACATCCATGTACATATAACCTAAAAAAGAAAGATATTTAATTTTAAAACATACAGTGTAGTTCGTGAAGAAAAAAATATAGTATATATAGTTTATTTTACAGTTTTGTTAGTGTTCTTTCTTTTTGTCTATTTCTTTGCATTTATTATTTATTCTTGATTGAATATGTAGGTAATTAGAATCTGACTGTAATTGCCAACATATTCAAAGAATTTGGAACACATTTTGGAAAAATTAATTTTTTGTATTTATTTTTGGTAAAATACAGTAAAACCTCGATATAACGGACCTCTATTTAACGGAATTCGGATACAACGAACGAAAAATCCGGTCAGTAAAACTGTATTATAAAAAAAATTCAATAAAATTTAGCTTACGAGGAGCATAATTGGGAATACCGCCAGAAGAGTTGAAATGTTTATTGCTTTTAGACAACGCTCCTGCTCACCCCTCTAAAAATATTCTACGTTCAGAAGATGTCAACTTTAGCTGTATGTTTTTGCCAAAAATGGTTGTATTGCACGATGGAGATAATGCAGAATATACAAGAAGACAGCGTAGCTTGCAAAACTTAAGGTCTTACAATTTAAAATCAACATTTTTTAATTTTTCTGCAGCATGGGAGGAGGCGAAACAGCAAACATTAAAAAATGGTTGGAAGAATTTGTTTGATGGCCAAGATGCATAGAAATAGAAGGGTTGGAATTTACTGTTTACTGTAGGTCAATAAATAATAATGCAGGATAACATGTAGCTAAGGAAGATGTTTTACAATGGCTAGTAGTGGATCTAAAGAAGGTGACCCTGGGCTAGAGAAGGTGACTCTAAATATAACATCATGACTAACATCTATAAAAAAATAGCAAACATCGAAATTTCAAACGAAACTTGATTCATTTTTTAAAATATGGTTACCGACAGCAAGCGCGTCAATATCCACAGCAACGTCACATCACAACGAATGACCGAAGGCAAGTAAATATAATTTTGTTTTTTTTTTATTTTTTATATATATCTGAATACAGTGTACATATATATTAAAAAAAAATGTTTTGATTTATTTTAAACATATTTTTGTATAACGGACTTTCGGCTTTGACAGATTATACTGACCCCCAAGTAGTCCGTTATATTTAGGTTTCACTGTACTTTCAAAATTCTGAATAACAATAAACTAAGACCCTTTTAGGAAAAGAATATAAACTAATATATATATAAAATGTTAATCGTTTACTTACTTGAAAAGGAATTTCAACTAATATCACAGACAATAAATATGGAGTTAGCTTATACCAACGGTTAAAATGCTCTCTAGAGAGTATCTTCATTTCTAAAGGAACTGAAACAATAAAATGGGTTATAAATAAAATTTGCTATATTACGATTAATATTAATTTAATTGTTAAAATGTCCTAGAGCTATTAAAATGAGACTAATATTACTATTTTTAGTTACTAGACTGAATCATGTTTATTTTCTTTAAACATTTTTAAAACTATATGAACATGATATAGTCTAATAACTAAAAAATAATAGTAGTAGTTTCATGTATCTCCAGTGAAGTTCATGGATTATAGTGAGTTGTAGATCTATTTAGATATTTTTGATTTAAACCTTATTACGAGCCTTTTTTTTTTCAGTAAATGATGAATAATTAACGTTTGTACTTAAGTCTCTCTTCTTGTAATAAACTATGTTTGGGGTTAGAATATACGTTTTCTTTTAAACCACTTCATTCAAGTATTTATCTGTCATAATCTCTTTCAAAATTTTATTAGTTTTCACTCATAATGTGGTTGAAGCGTTATTATTTTCACAAGGCACGAAATATTTTGAACCAAAATGCACTTCCCATCAAAAAATTAATTAGGTCAGGGTAGATTCACAAAAAAGCCAAAATCCAATTTTAGTTCTGTTTCCCGTTTTTATTAATTATTATTTATAACTGGGAATAAGCCACATTAAAGATAAAAATACATTTATTGACGTTTCAATTTCCAATTCGGAAATCGTTCTCAAAATACAAATAGTAAATTAAACAAATTTTGTTTTTTGTTACATAGTGAAAAAATTCTTCTGATAATTTAATTTTATCTGACTCATTTATATTGACAATTCAGACATACATTATGCATTTTAAAGTAGACGACTTTAAAATGATATTGCCAATATTGTTGAGTTGCGCTCCTGGGACGACTTTACTTATAAGATAGTTCATTCGATTACATGAAATCAACTTTAACTTGAGAATATCCGTCAGAAAAAATCAGTAGCATGTAATTCGTCTTTAAAAAGACAAACACATGACATGATGACAGTAAAATTCTCCTGTTAGTGATTCCATAGTAAATTATGAGGGAAAAACCAGGAAAAAAACCTCATAATACTATCCCGACATTGTAAGTATTTGTTCGTGAATTTAGTTTACCTTCAACAAACATCAAAATTCTGATTTTATGTTACGTTATTATCAAAAAAACATAAATGATGTATCCTCTATAATATGTTACTGACTTACTAATACTGGTATTTTCTTATTAATAACTTCCTCTTTCAATATTGGTAACCAGATCCTACTACATTCTGCAGAGGAATTTGCGACACAATTGGCCTCATTTAGCATAATTAGAGCCGCTTCTTTGATTTTTCTTTTTTTACCATCCGTTTCTTTTAGGACTATATTTGAATTATTCCATTGAACTCTATGTTCATTATCCCATGCGTGTTTACATATTTGAGATCTATCAAATTCTCTATTTTTAATATAAGATTGATGTTCACTTATTCTAACATTTAATGGCCTTGATGATTCACCTAAATAAAACTGATCGCATTCACAAGGTATTTTATAAATGCAATTCTTTGTCCTTTCTTGTTCATTGTTAGGTTTGGTTTTGGACAAAATAGATCTCAACGTGTTTGTTGTTTTGAATGTTGTTGAAATGTTGAATTTATTTCCTATCCTTTTAAGTTTTTCTGATAATCCTTTTATGTACGGTATTGTTATTTTCCTCATATTATTCCTTGTGTATGCTGTAGGATCTCGTTCTAAGTTGTTCTGTTCTATTCGATCGATTGTTGAAAATTCCTTATTTATAAACGATAAAGGATAATCATTTTTTAATAAAACAGATGTTAACAAATGTTTCTCCTCCAAGAACGAATTTTCGTTAGAACAAGTAATTTTGGCTCTATCGTATAAGGATTTAATTATTCCCTTTTTTACATTAATATTGTGATTTGATTTGAAATTTAAATATCTATTGGTGTGTGTTGGTTTTCTATACACCTGAGTCTCATATCCAGTATCGTTCTTAGAGATCAAAACATCCAGGAAAGGTAGCGTGTTATTATATTCCTTTTCCATGGTAAATGTTATTGTCTCTTCTTTATCGTTTATATCGTTTAGGAATGTGTCCAACAACTCTGATCCATGAGGCCATATTGAGAATACATCATCTACATACCTCCACCATACTGTGGGTTTGAAATTTTGTTTAGAAATGATATTTGTTTCAAAATCTTCCATAAATATATCGGCTAAGAATGGAGATAAACTAGAGCCCATTGCTAGACCAAAATTTTGTTTATAGAATTCATTATTTAGTTGAAAATATGTATTATCAGTACATAATGTTAATAACTCCATTATAGCCGATATGTTTAGTCTTGTTCTAGTTGCCAATGAATCATCACTCTCTAATTTTGTCTTGACTATACTTAAAGTCTTATTTAATGGCACATTCGTAAATAAACTATTTATGTCAAAACTTACCATAGTATTATTTGAATTAAATTCAATATTTGATAATTTATTTAAAAAATGTTGTGTATTTTTTATGAATGTGTCATTTTTATTTGTATAAGGTTTTAAAATATTTAATAAAAATTTTGATAGTTCACTACAAGGAGAATTTATGGTACTACAAATGGGTCTAAGTGGTATATTCGTTTTATGAATTTTCGGTACTCCATAAAAATGAGGAGTCTTACTGTAATGAGGTGTAATTAATCCTCTCTGATAACTTGTTAAAACATCTTTAAACTTGAATAAAGTTCTATATATTTTGTTTTCCAAAGGCTTTGTTGGATCTTTTGTTAATTTTGTATAAGGTCCGTTTATTAATAGATCTTTAATTTTATTTTCGTATTGAATTTTATCCATTATTACAGTTGCATTCCCCTTGTCTGCTGGTAGGATGATTACGGAGTCGTCATTTTTTAAAGTTCTTATAGCCTTTAGTTCCTCTTTGCTTATGTTTTGTTCAATTTTAGAAGATTTTTAGATCCTACAGCATACACAAGGAATAATATGAGGAAAATAACAATACCGTACATAAAAGGATTATCAGAAAAACTTAAAAGGATAGGAAATAAATTCAACATTTCAAACAACATTCAAAACAACAAACACGTTGAGATCTATTTTGTCCAAAACCAAACCTAACAATGAACAAGAAAGGACAAAGAATTGCATTTATAAAATACCTTGTGAATGCGATCAGTTTTATTTAGGTGAATCATCAAGGCCATTAAATGTTAGAATAAGTGAACATCAATCTTATATTAAAAATAGAGAATTTGATAGATCTCAAATATGTAAACACGCATGGGATAATGAACATAGAGTTCAATGGAATAATTCAAATATAGTCCTAAAAGAAACGGATGGTAAAAAAAGAAAAATCAAAGAAGCGGCTCTAATTATGCTAAATGAGGCCAATTGTGTCGCAAATTCCTCTGCAGAATGTAGTAGGATCTGGTTACCAATATTGAAAGAGGAAGTTATTAATAAGAAAATACCAGTATTAGTAAGTCAGTAACATATTATAGAGGATACATCATTTATGTTTTTTTGTTAATAACGTAACATAAAATCAGAATTTTGATGTTTGTTGATGGTAAACTAAATTCACGAACAAATACTTACAATGTCGGGATAGTATTATGAGGTTTTTTTCCTGGTTTTTCCCTCATAATTTACTATGGAATCACTAACAGGAGAATTTTACTGTCATCATGTCATGTGTTTGTCTTTTTAAAGACGAATTACATGCTATGATTTTTTCTGACGGATATTCTCAAGTTAAAGTTGATTTCATGTAATCGAATGAACTATCTTATAAGTAAAGTCGTCCCAGGAGCGCAACTCAACAATATTGGCAATATCATTTTAAAGTCGTCTACTTTAAAATGCATAATGTATGTCTGAATTGTCAATATAAATGAGTCAGATAAAATTAAATTATCAGAAGAATTTTTTCACTATGTAACAAAAAACAAAATTTGTTTAATTTACTATTTGTATTTTGAGAACGATTTCCGAATTGGAAATTGAAACGTCAATAAATGTATTTTTATCTTTAATGTGGCTTATTCCCAGTTATAAATAATAATTAATTTACAATGCCACAAGAAAATAGCTTCAGAACAATATCCCGTTTTTATTGGTATATCAATATGCATTCAGACGTGTATATTTGTAGTTATGTTTGAAAAACTCACAATTTTTTGGTAAGTGGTTCAATCTTCGTATTTAATTAATTGCGATATTAAGAGATCCTTTTTTGTATATTTATAGTCTGACTGGCAATTCAGTTTTTGCCGCTACGCATTCACAAACTCCTGTTGTCAATGTCGAGGCTAACCGCCTTTACCAATATTTTTGCCAAAGAATGCAAAGATATCTGTTTCTATATCCTAACCTCTGAAAACAGGTAACAGGGTTACCTGTTTTCAGAGGTTTAGCGTATGTTCCCTTCAGAGGCCAGTGCCATTGTCATAATGTAAGATATTTTTTTTCTTTTTTTTTTGTGTGCGTTTGATTTATTTTATTTTTCCGAACTTTTTTTAAAGAATTTAAGTTTTTATAAACTCTTCTCGTTAATAATTGATTAATTATAGGAATTATGGAAATTCCTGTTTTTTTGTAACGTTAATTTTGGTATAAGGGGAAAGAATGGCAAATGGGATTAATTCAGGTTGCAGATAAATATTCATTAAATTATCATTTTGTATGTTGAAATATTACAATTTTAATTAAATTAATTTGCATATTGAGTTTATTTAAACTATTTTTTTTATTGGGTTAATGCCTCGACAACTATGATCATTGGCATGGTACAGTCAGGTACCTAGTGTAGTGTGTGTGTATGTGTAGAGTAATTGTCTTGATACTTAGCAAAGTCGACGTCATTGTCTTTGCTAAGAGACGCTAATTGTATCCGAACGTCTGCGGTCCCTCTGGTGAGTACCGATCGCACAAGGATAGAAATTATTTTCATTTATTAATTTTTAATAAACGAAAATTTTCACCCAGATGAGATTCGAACTCACGACCTTTAGATTTAAAGGTAGGCGCTCTTACCACTGAGCCACAGAGGGGGTTATTTAAACTATTTAAAAACTGCAATTTGTTTTAATTTTAAGATTATTCATGACAATTCATTTATTTCAGTTTCAGTTTTGAAAATTTAGTTTTTATTATTAAATTAATTTACCATTTTTATATGATCTGGAGGAATGGAGGATACTTCAATTCGATTTTTAACAATGTTAGTATGAAAATATCGTGTCTATCTTAAATAACCTTGCCAAGAGAATTTTTTCTTAACGTTAATATTCTAATAGTCTCTTCCCTGACTTGAATATTTAACCAAACTATCTAGAATTATCTACTCTCCCTGTAATTAAAATTTAAATATAAAACGGAAGCGATTATTCTGTTAATAATAAAAGATTTCTGTGCGTGCTTTGAAGATGTTATCGAATAATGACTTTATTGTTCTCCGTAATAGTTTCAGTCACGAGAAAATAAATGAAGCAGTATACTTTTTGTATAGAATACAAAAAAAAATCCATTAAATTAATTGTTTGTTTTAAGATATTTTGTATATTTAATAAACCTTTGGATTTAATTTGGAATTCTAATTTGTGTTAAGTTTTTTTGTATTAAAAATTCCGTTGACACTTATTTGTAACTGTGTAATTTTAAGTGATAAATAAATCGTCTATCTATATAAAAGAATATGACGACAATTTACATTGTTTGTCCATTTGGGTAACTACGCCACCTAGGAAAGAAATCTGAACTACCAACATCTGGCATTTCAATCAAATAATATAAACGCTTATGCGATGATAAAAAAAGAAAGAAATAAGAAAGATCTTTGACGAAATAAAAGTAATTATCAACAATAAACTTTTCATAAACAGTTATATGAAACTGAAACACTGGGTAACAGAGAAAGGATTTAAAATCATTGAGAATATTAGAAATGTTTGTCAAACTGGTTTGTCAAAGAGAAAGCAAAAAACCGCGTTAAGGAATCTCAACATTGACATAAAACAAAGATGCAAGGCTAACAAACAATAATATTACCACAGGATGGACACGGAAATTAAGAGTAATGTCCAAAATAGCCACCCCAATGATCTATTTAGAAAAATAAAATAAACAACAAGAGAATTCAAGGTCAAACGCTGGCTGTTAAATAATATACAAAAAACCTAAGAACATACAAATTTTTTTATTAGTAAAACCCAACCCTAAGAACTACAGTCTTTATTGTATTTAATATTCACAAATTCATCGAGGACTCCTTTCTTATTGAGTGCATAAAATCTCTTGAGGAACTCTTTCATATGCTTTTTTAATATTAATAAATACCATATGAGTTTGTCTCTCTTATAAAGTCAAACTGATAATCGGATATTTCTGTTTCTTCATATATCTCTTTATCAATTATTCTCTCTTTTTACTTCGATATCCAACACAAACAACTTATGTTTTTGGCATTCTATCTCACTAATACCTTGCAATCCGTACCCAAGATTCGTAGATCATATCCTAACTTATCTAATCTGCAATGGTGTTCCCTCTAAATACGTTTTGCCTTTTCTACCAGCATAACGTCTTGCACGATTTAGCCAACACACCACCAATGGAACCAAAGTGTAGTATTCTTCTTTTTCTTCTACGGCACTACACCCGAAATTGAGCCTTGGACTTGTCTTTATTTTTTGCCTCCACCCTTGCTTGTCTGTGGCTGGTCTTCTTCATACAAGGATTCTTAAAAGGACTTGTGCGTCGCTGTTTATGGTATCTTCCCAGCGCTTGCTTGGCTTTCTTATCACATATCCGGCCCACTGCAATATTTGTATTTTAATTAAGTCTGACAGTGGTGCTTCCTTTTAAAGTTGAAAAAGCTCGTTGTTGTATCGACTTCTGAAGACACCGTTTTTCCTCACAGGTCACAGTAGTATTCCTCTCAGTACTTTTCTTTCGAATTTGTCGAGTTTGCTTGTAGATGTTTTAGAACCCATGCTTCACTGTTATTGGTCTAATTAAGGCTTTATAGATTCTCATCTTTGTATTTCGGTGGATATTTTTAGACAGAAATATATGGGAGAGGGCAAAATAAGTTATCTTTGCCTGCGTTATTCTCTTCCGTATTTCTCCATCTTATGATCCGTCAGCATATATTTCTACTCTGTATAATGTTTTATGGCACTAAAGTGCAGTATTAACCCACACTATTCTGTATAAGCCAGGTTTTCTGGTGTTATGACTGCCCTATAAACCAATATATTGTTGCCCGTATGGAATGTCTCGCAAAACAGGAAAATAGTTTTCCTGTTTTGCCAGAGATACCATTACATTTGACTTTAATATTCACTTGCATTAACCCTTTCTATTTGTTATATACATATATAACTAAGGTGACCTAAAATTGGCATTGAGGATCCGCCAATACTTCGTTGTTACCTGTTCTCGGTCTTAATTTATGGTGTCGAGTCCTGGACTGTGAATAAAATCGATCTAAATCGCCTTAAGGCTTTCGAAATGTGGTGCTATTGAAGAATTTTAAAAGTTTCCTGGGTGGAGAAGATTCGAAACTCCACAATACTAGAACATCTCACCAAGACTACTGGGATCATAAAAAGCATCAAGCAGAGAAAGCTGGAGTATTTCGGACATGTAATAAGAAGTCCCAAATATAGGTTGCTACAAAATATCGTACAAGGAAAAATAGCAGGCAAACGCAGTCCAGGACGAAGAAGAATCTCATGGTTAAAGTACTTGCGAGAGGTATGGTGTTGATACAAGCATGCTATCTAGGGTGGCAGTGGAACATATATAACGATAAAACACTGAAAAATTTGTTTTTAACACTTGCACAAAATTATTATCACTACAGCTGTTTCGACTAGAGTGACTTTCTCAAGTTGTTTCTAATGTAAAAATAACTGATTACTGAAACAATACTTACATGATAAAGTCACGGGCATTTTACCAGTATATACTGTGAGTAAAAGAGTACCATACAAATATACATAATTTGCTAAAACTGTATTCGCGCCACTTCCAACGTTTCTGTACAAATAGCCAAAGATAAGACCAATACCAATATGGGCCAATACTCGATTCAGCGCTGGACCCTAAAAAACAAAAATATTTTTTTAATTAATTTATTGCTAAAGTCTGTTTGGTCAAGTTACACGAGTTTCTAATTAATTAAATAAGCAACAATTCAAAAGAGCATCTGTACAAATTATTGTATAGGTATAGGTTGGTATCTTTCAGTGGGTACCGTAGAAGACTAGCCATTAAATTAATTTAAGTAATATGCAAAAGCGGACAGCTTATATTTAATAATATGTACATTACAAATTTATTTTAGTTTTTATTCATAAATTTACCTACGATATAGATTTGAATTCAAATAAATATCACCCAACAAATAATATTGTTTTGTTATTCCCCGTATATATTCGATGGAACTAAACTAGCGGTATGGTGTGTAGAACGTAAAACTTTATTTGCCGTGGCTTTCAATAATCTTATCCACTGCAAAGATTTGTTTTTTTTTGCTAAACAACAGTTTGGCAAGAAATTTTTATTGTTTTGTTATTTTTCAAAGAATTCAGATTTTAATGGGTTCTTCAAATTGAACTAGTTTTATACTTTTTTTATTTTGTTTTTATTTTAACTTGTTTAATTACTTTTTAAATGTTTTATTGTCTTGATCCTGTTTTTATGGTCCTGTTTAAATGATATTGTATTAGGTATTTTTTTTGCATAAAAATGGCATTGCAATAAAAAACAAGAAGAAAGATTTTTTTGTCATAAATTAAACGAAGAATTGAAAAATGATTTTTAATACGACATATCTCAGTGGCGCACCATTTTTTCTTTAAATAGATTAAGACCGTTACTCGTATACGCGCCAATGATGAATATAAAAGTCTTAGTTGTATGGGAAAAAATGCCTAATAATTAATTCTTAAAGCTCAACAAGTATTTGCACCCTTATTTGCATGTCTCAACCGGTGTCAGATGAATAAATAAATCATCAGTTTGTAAGAAAAATTTCGACATTCCGTATCTCGAAAAACGAAGCATTTGCAGGCCCCCATTTATATAGCAAACTGTCATTGTTTTTTCATATAGAATTATTCTTTGGTGTTTGTTATTTACTAACACCGTATATATTATACAAATATTTATTATTCAATTAGACTAAAAACCGGCATTTTGAACCGCTGTACCTCTGAAATAATTGACTTTTACTTTATTTTTTGACAATAAATATTAAACTCAACAGGCTTCTGGTAAACCACGTCGATTATCACTGCGCCGAGCTTTCGACATCCTTTCTGACGTCTTCTTTAGGGCTTCAGGTTTTAGTCTCCCAAGCCCCCTTACACTGCTACACTAATCACTAACCAATACATACTGATCATTAGTGATCAGTGTAGTAGTGTCTGTCGGCTCGGCGGACTGAGACCTCGGAAACTCTCAGGAAGAAGAGGGAGTAACAGGAACAAATAATCAGAGATATAGAAGAAAAAAGAAAGAACAAACAAGCGAGACAGTTCTTCAAAGGAGTTTCAGGTATCAAGACCGGGTAGCAAGCATAAACAGAAAACTCCCTTAAAAACGACAGCGGGCATTTTATCACTGATGACAAGGAAATCCTAAAAACTTGGAAGGAATACTTCTGTCGACTATAGAACGACCAATCTAGCAGAAATACATCAAACCTAGAGGTAAATACAGCTGAAATAAAAGACCAATACCCGACATAAGAAGAAGTAATACAGAAAATTAAAAGACACAAGGTCGCGATGGTACACCCGTAGAGTGCATAAACATGGAGGAGAAGCGTTGTACAGTTCTATATACAAGCTAATTCAAGACATTTGTTGAGAAGAAACAATGCCAGACGAATGAAAAGAAAGGGTTATTGTACCAATATACAAAAAATGAAATGAAAAGCAATGCATTAACTACCGGGGAATAATACCCCTAAACACCACCTACAAAATTCTTGCAAACATCCTGCTAGAAAAAAGCGAAACATACACAGAAGAAATCGTTGAAGATTATCAATGCGGATTTAGACCAAGCTGCTCTACTATTGATCAGATATTCACAATAAAACAGATAATGAAAAAATGCTGGGACTTGATCGTGAGCTTCATCAGATATTCATAGATTTTAAACAAGCATTTGATATAGTATGCAGGACCAGACTGTGGACAGTGATGCAGAAACTTGGCTTTTCAAAAAAAAGTAGTCAGGTTGATACAGATGTGTATGGAACAGTTATGATGTAAGGTGAGAGTTGGACAACAACACTCGGAGACATTTGAAATCAACAATGGACTAAAACAGGGAGATGAACTTTCACCGCAACTCTTCAACTTAGCTCTGGAGCATATAATCAGAAGTGCAAGAATCGAAAAACCGAATACAGTATTTTATCGAGAATGACCAAACTTACTACTGGCATTTGCAGACGATATCAATCTAATAGGAAACACAGGATTATGGACGAAGGAGACTTTCGTGAGGTTTGAGAAGCAAGCAGAGAAGATGGGGCTCCAAATCAACGAAAAAAAAAACGAAATATATGTCTATGAGCCGCAAAAACCAACGCAGACACAGAATAGGTCAGAATATCACCATCGATGACTTTAACTGTGAGCGCGTTAGAGAATTCAAGTGTCTTGGAACAACAATAACTGAAGACAATAACGGACCACAAAAAATAAACAGGATTCAGGCCGGCAACAGATGTCTTTTTGCCCTCCAAAACCTTATAAAATCGAAACAACTAACAAGACGTACGAAGATACAGGTATATAAAATAATCATACGACCCGTTGTGATCTATAGAAGCGAAATGTGGACGATAACAAAGGCAAACGAAGAGACTATGTATTTGGGAAAGAAAAATCCTAAAGAAGATCTTTGGTCCTGTGCTGGATGAGCATCAGGACAATATAAGATAAGAGCTAACAAAGAGCTCGAAGAACTTTACCCAGGTGCCAACATCATAAAAGTAATAAAGTCCAGAAGACTTCAAAGGGCAGGACCCCTCAGAAGACATGCTGATGAACGAACAGTAAGACTGGTTTGGGAGGAAGAGTCCCAACTGGAAGAAGATCACGCGGACGCCCTCGTCTTCGATGGCGAGAAATAATTATAGCAGGAGACCTAAGCACTATGGGCGTGCAGAATTGGATGGGGGTTGCTTAAGGCAGAAAACAGTGGAGGCATGTTGTCGAGTCGGCTAAAACCCACGAAGGGTTGTAACGCCACGGAGTAAGTAAGTAAAACCGGAATACTGGTAACTTTAATATTAATTCTTATAATAGTATGAATCTTAGTTTTAAATTTAATTGTACCAATCGCGGAAATCTTTCGAAATATATACAATATGTATGTATATATATATATATATATATATATATATATATATATATATATATATATATATATATATATATCGCTTTCTAAGTATGTCCCTTATGTCAATATAAGAAAATTTAAAAAATACGACACAACAGATACTCGTTAGTTTAGTCCTTGACACTCAAAAATGTTACTACTTAAAATTCAGACCGAACAAAATGTAGTCATTTTTATTCTACTTACGTAACATCTCTTTATTATCAGCAGATTCCTTTTATACAATAACAAAAACTGCATAATTATAGCTGCGGGTACTGCTTTCGTTTCGTCGGAATAGAGACCTACTTTTTTTTCCTCGAAGAGATCTCTCCCTGAAATAAAACAATGAGAAACATGATGAATTGCGCCATAAAATATGCAATATTTTATTGTTGAATTAAGCATTTAAAGTGGGTTTTTGATACTAATAAAGATTAAAGATATAACATAGGTATGTCTTCTTTTAGAATTTAGAAGCCTTGTTTTAGCTTTAGAAGTATTGCAAAAACGGGTTTGCTTCAAATTAACTAATGCAAACTTTTGTGCAAAAGGGTTTTTTTAAAACTTAGTAGATCAAAGGAGAAATATACCAAGTGTGCTAAAAGAACGTGAATGGTCGAATATTTCGCAAAGCTTACACTGGATCAAAAAACTTTAAAACATGCTTTTAGTAATTTTCAAAAATTTATGGAATGATACCAAACACAACCCCTACACCCATCCCCTAGGGGTGGGGCAGGGGGCAACTCTTTGAAATCCTAAGTAGAAACCCCCATTTTTCATTGAAGATGCAGTCTCGACTGTAACTGGTGCCATAAAAATTAGTCTGCAGTCTGATATGGAGTTTTTTATTTATTTATATATTTCTTTTTTTGCGATTAAAACGGTGTTAGCTATCGCGAACAGAGAAGAAATTCCAGATAAAAATTGTTTGTTTTTCACGTAGAATTAGAGTCTGCAATAAAAAATAGGGTTTTCTATTTAATATTTCAAAGTTGTTACCTGCCACACCCCAAGAGGATGGGTTTGGGGGTTGTGTTTAATGTTATTGGATAGATTTTTGAAAAATAATTTGTGTTTTGGTTTTTCATTTAGACGCGCATCTACACGCTATCTACCCCCGGTTCTTTTGGTACACCCGGTATATAGTAGTTTTAGATATATGAGGTTGGTACTACTCAACAATAGGATAAATGACATGGAAAAAAACTAACGACTCGTTTCAAAAAAATCTGAATGATAAACTCCGGTGTAACACTGACTATGATGTACGATGGCTATGATGTTATGAAATGGACTAAGGACTGAAAACGGACGAACAAAGAATGCATATTTCAAAATGGGAATGCTAAGATTATTGAAGTTTATGAGATATAGGTAATCTATTGAAATGTTATATTTTTTTATGCCTTAGCGTGCATTTATCAGAGGATGCAATTTTATTTTTTTTTATATTTTGTGAGGGTAAGTATAAGCTTAAGCTTAAGTTTGTGAAGCTGCCAACCTTATTCCCCGGTTGCCATCTTGGAAAAAGGGAGAAAAATTGAAAATAAAAAGTTATTAACAAAATAACTAAATTTTTTTTTCTAGTCATTTTACAATAAAATAATGTCTGCACAATATTATATAGGATTTCGCATTGAATAATTTTCACTACAAATTTGTTTATTTTTATTAATTTCTCTTTTACAGCGCTCCGAAGTTGAACGGGTTCTTAATTACTCGTAAGAATAGAATAAAAACGAACCATTATACTTAGTTTTTAAGCATATGTTTTATATTAATTACACTTTAAATAAATTTATTATTTTTTTAACATGTTTATGTTATTATTAATTTGCCTCGTACGAAAAACATCAATGAACAGAGTTAAAGTTTGCCGTACCTGTTGCGTTCTGCACATACGATGACCTCAATATAACAATTGGTGTCATCCTGAAGGGGGAGAGAATGATATTCTGTTCAATATAGAACTCGCTGGTTTCCCCCTTTCGGATTGGGTATGTATATTAAAATAAAAGAAGAGAAATGAAAGCCAGTGGACTATATAAAACTCTATTTAAAAAAACAGTGAAATTAAAACATAAATATACATAACCAAACACAAATATAACAAAGAATATACATAAACTTAAATATTAGGCAATACGAAACGACATACTAAAAGACAACCATAAACAAAACAGAACAAAAATGTCGATTTTAAAAAAACCACCGACAAAACAAAAGACAAACCTACCATAGCCATACCAAACATACTATACATAAAAAGATAAAAAACAAATTAATAATCTTACAAAAAAAACAACCTAATTACGGATACATATGTTAACGTTATAAAAACAAATTAAGAATCCGGTGCATACAAACAATTAATACAATTATTAATACAAAACATACAAGAAATAAAATCAGTGTTAACAAAATACAAAAAATATACAATTTAGTAAATAAACCGAAACAAATGCACAATGCGTTCAATTGACAATGTTCAATCGCGATCGCGGCACAAATGAGATAATTGTTCTAAGTAAATATAAATATATATATATATATATATATATATATATATATTATATATATATATATATATATATATATATATACCAATTAACGTACTTGATATATGCAGGAACATAGATTAATGGTGTATTGTACTTTAGTCAAGGAAATGATAGCACTACCGCTATAGCAAATTACGCGTTCAGCGACGCCCTCGAACCACAAAAGTTGATGATGCACATTTAACAACTTTCCCGGTCACAGGACCGATGCGTTGTGTCGCAGGTACCTTTAACCCACACCCATACACAACTATATGGTTTGAAACTCGACTCTGATTTTAACTTCAAAAAACAGATCCCTTTCATATGGCATATGGAATCGTCGTCCTTTGTTATCTCGCAGATTGTCCACCTTGCAATATTTAGCCCTTAAAATCGCTGTGCCACTTACACCGCAAATCTTAGTTTAATTATACGGGGAGAATCGAAACTACCAAAAAATCTGTTAATACGCAGTTGCGAAACTGAGACAGTAATAATAAAGTAAAGAGCACCGTCCAATATTATTCCAAGATCAATTTCTTTGTAATGAAACGAAAACAAGAAAAGAAAAGAAAATAAACTTAATAGACTTTCACAAAACTGCTCTATAAAAAGTGGATTTTAGTATCGACCGGGCTGAATCTGATGCAGATACAGTCATCATCCGATTTGCGATTGCTGCATTCCAAGCCTATATTTTTGGGACTGTCGTAAAGATAGTGCAAACATTCCTGACCATGGAGCTGAGCGAAGGCGGAGTCAAAATTCACGTAAAGGCAGAAAGGTTCTATTGTAAGTGGAATTATACAGTGCATAGTACAATGCGTTTCACATGGAAGTGGGGAATAAACCAAATTTCGTCTACTGCGCCGTGGTCAGGAGTGCTTGCACTATCTCTAACAGAGAACATTGGCATTATTGTCTTGCTCGCGGCATTAGAAAGGGAGCAGTCCAATGCTATGTGTCCAAAGTGTCAAATTTTTCTTAAAACTTTAAAAGAGTTTAAGTCGCATCGATTATACTATCCTTCAACTTTTATATATGGCGACGTTATTTTAGAGAAATTGTTGTTTCTCTATTCTTTTTTAGGATGCGACACAACATGGTGGCTTACAAAATCGGCAAACTTAAATTCATTAAAATTTTTTTAGAAACATCCTAAGTAAGCTAGAGGAACAACAATATTTTTCAGTGAGAAAGCGGAGCCATCTTTGGCCAATATGATTGGCGAACGTTTTTTCGTTGCTTTATACGGTGGAAGAAAAAATGAATATTTACCACCATGAGATAGAAGCGATTCGCCAAGACTGTGACCAAAATGACATTTAACTTATAGCTTCCGCCAACACAAGATGGCGTAAGCCATAATTTTCCACAGATTCAAGGGAAACTATACATGTATATCGTGGGGTTGCCGACAAGTAGGCATCAAATGCTTTACAGTGTGCTTCAATTGTTCTGATAAAACCTGCAATGAATCATCGAAATATTAACATTAATCGAAAAATTCGAAGAATTAGAAGATGAATTAGGCCTAATGGGATACCACTTAAAACAACGCGCCTCTATACTCTACCTCATAGGTATTTGGGAAAAAGGTCGATAATAAACTGATAATATCACATGAATATTTGTATTGTAGTTAAAATTATTCACTAACAGCCTTGTATAATATTGCTCTAAATTTTTTTTATTGTAAAATGACCACAAAAAAATTATAAGGCCCTGAACCAAATTTGTTCAAAAATGTTTAATTATTTTGGTTTATAATTTTTTATTTTCCATTTTACGATAAAAAGTAATAGCAATGAAGTTATAGACAATTTAATTTATGACAAATAATAAAATTGTCTGTCGTGTTACTACTTTATGAGACGCAGCGCGAAAACCCTTTGCATCCCTTATTCCAAGATGGCGAGTATTCAAGAACACGGTCAACTTTGGAGCGCTGTAAAATTCAGAGAAATAAATGAAATTAAATAAATTTGAAATGATAATTATCTACCTTTTAAAAACCCTTCATAAGATAACCATATATCAGATATTAAATATCAGATATACAAAATAAAATTTTATTGTAAAATGACCAAAAAACTGACTAAAAAATGTTATTGGTCCCAAAAGGAAATTTGTTCAAAAATTCTTAGTTATTTTGTTTATAACCTTTTTATTTTTAATTTTATGATAAAAAGTAATACAAAACCAATTTTAGAAAATTTAATTTGCTACAAATAATATTATATAAACTTTCTGTAGGGTTGCTAATTTACGAGATACAGCGCAAAAATCCCTTTCGTAGTTGGCGGCCAGGGACAAGAGTGGCGCCTAACAAACTTGAATTTCGTGATTAAAAATCAGTAAATATTTAGTAAGGTAATCAGTAAGGTAAGACTTTTTAGGAGACTACATTATAGGATACTAGGATATAAACTACATTAAGGGTTATTATTGGTAGAAGTAAAAAAAAGTGATAAAAAATAACCTACCTTTTAAATCATTGTTTTCACCACTTTCTATACTTTTATTTTGATACGATTTGACACTATCTGCCAATTTGTCAATATTTGCATTGTGATCTCCGATTGATACCTCTATTACTAAAAATAAAAAAATAATAATTCGTTCAAGTTTTGGATCATTATAAATATGTAAAATTTCCGTTTACTAATAGTTTATAAAAATATAAAACATAAGTGATGACAAATCAAAATATCACTATAAACTTAGATGAAATATTAATAATATATCTAGGTCACATGATCAAACTGGATAAACAGAACCAAACTAGAGAGATCACTAGAAAAGCCTGAATTAATAGGTAGAAAGACTCAGTATTGTGTTAAAACACAAAAAGTTACTAATAAATAAAAAGTTATATAATAGTTGTATCCATGGACATATCATCATCATCATCATCCAGCCTCTATTTATCACGTCCACTGCTGGACATAGGCCTCCCTTAAACTCCTCCATTCCTCACGATTTTGTGCTCTTTGTTGCCAATTTTTAGTGATACGCCTGATGTCGTCGGCCCAACGTGTAGGTGGTCTTCCTCTACTGCGTTTGTCTGCTCTTGGCCTCCAATTTGTAATTTTGCTCGTCCATCGTGAATCGTGCATTCTCGCTACATGGCCTGCCCAGTTCCATTTTAGTTCCGCTATGCGTTCCACAACATCAGTAATACTCGTCCTTCTTCGCAGATCTTCGTTTCTTATTCGGTCCCTCAACGTCACTCCCAGCATAGACCGTTCCATTCGTCTCTGTGCCACTCTCAGTTTCGAAGCCGTGGTCTTGGTTAAAGTCATAGTTTCCGCCCCATAGGTCATGACCGGTAATACGCATTGGTCAAACACTTTTCTTTTGAGGCTGATTGGTATGTTGGCCCTAAGTGTGTCTCGCAGTTTTCCAAAGGCTGCCCATGTTAAAGTAATTCGTCTTTGGATCTCACATGTTTGGTTATCCCTGCTGATTCTTATTTCATGACCCAAATACGTATATTTCTCCACCAGTTCTACCACTTTGTCTTGAATAGTCAAATGGTTATTGGGGACCAAATTTGTCATAAACTTAGTTTTGGTCAAGTTCATTCTCAGGCCCACCTTCGAACATGCAAAATCCAATTCGTTTAACATATCTGTAGCTTCTCCTAAATTATCTGTGATAAGGACAATGTCATCTGCGAAACGGAGATGGTTAAGCTTTTCGCCGTCTATCGTTACTCCTCTGTGGTCCCAATTGATCATCTTAAAGGCATATTCTAATGCCGTTATGAATAATTTCGGCGACAATGTATCTCCTTGCCTTATTCCACGATTTATTTTTATTGGTCGGGTTTTATTGTCTATTTTAACAGTCATAGTGGCATTTTTGTAAATATTATAAATAAGCTCACTATACCTATGGTCAATCCTGCTGTCATTCATTGCTTCTATAAGGCTGTCTAATTCGATCGTGTTGAACGCTTTATGAAAATCTATGAAAGTGAGAACAAGAGGTTTGTTATATTCTATAGATTTTTCAATGAGTGTCTTTACTGTGTGGAGGTGATCATTGGTACCATAATTTGAGCGGAATCCTGCCTGCTCTCTCGGTTGGTAGAAATCTAATTTTTTCTCCAATCTTGATGTCACTACCCTAGTGAAGAGCTTGTATATGTGGTTCAACAGGCTAATAGGTCTATAATTTTCTAGGTCCGTTCTATCTCCTTTTTTATGCAAAAGGATGGTTGTAGCATTGTTCCACTCTTTGGGCACCTCTCTTTGCTGCAAACATAGATTGAATAGTTTCCTTAATTTATTTAATAGCATATCTCCTCCATTTACGATAGCTTCTATTACGATTCCATCCTCTCCTGGGGCTTTGTTATTTTTCATTTTTCTTAATGCTTGTCAAATCTCATCTAGCTTTATCTCTGGCATTAGTTCGGAACCTTGATTCTTGATCTTCTTTGAAATGGCTGTTTGTATTCCTGTTTTATCTTCTCGTCTACTTCTATATAAGTCCTCGTAAAACTCTTCGACGAACTGTATTAACTCGTCTCTACGTGATATTATTTCATTTTGCTTGTTTCTTAATTTATGAATTTCGCATTTCCCATTCGTTGGCTTTCTACGTAGAACTTTTAGGCTGTTATTTTCCTCTATAGTGCGTTTAATATAATCGGTATTAAATTTCCTTAAATCTCTCCTAATTGCTTTCGAAACAGTTTTGTTCATTTTTTCTTAAAGTGTTGCTATCTACATTCTTATCGCTTCTCATTTGTCTTCTTTGATCCAAGAGTGTTTCAGTATATGGACTTATTTTACTATCTGATTTTCTTTTAGGACAGTGCACTCGGTGACTTTCTTGTAAGGCGTTTATGATGCAGTTATTCAAGTCGTTAATATCGTTAGTGGAGGTTTCCTGCAATAGAAGCTTATTATTGATATAATAAGCCATAGACATATACCTAATACAAAAACAGACTGCTGCCATACAGTCGCGTTCCCCTATCATCATCTCTTCTATCATCTCTCTTTCGCTTCTAGCGTTATGATATCAACAAAAAAATCATCTGTAAATGCCAATATTTGTACGCTTTTTGTTATTATTGACTTTTGACTCTCTAATTATTTTCTCTAATGTGATGTTGAATAGAATACAAGATACATAGATCAAAAATTCTCGATGGATGCTATCATAGTCACTCTCAAAATCAATAAACAGATGATGTGTGTCTATATTAAATTCAATAGTCTTTTCCAAGATTTGCCTCAAGACGAAGATCTGATCTATTGTAGACTTTTGCCTGCAGAAACCACATTGATATCCACCAACTATTTATTCCGCATATGGTCTCAATCGGTCATACACAATATTTGACAGTATTTTATATGCCACAGTTAGTAGCGTTATTGCCCGGTAGTTTTTACATTGAAGTTGATCTCCCTTTTTATGTAGTGGGATAATTACTCGGTATTCCAGTCTTGTGGCAGTTGTTTATTATTTCATATGTTGTCTATTAGTTCGTGTATCGCATTCAATAGGGAGTCTCAGCCTTTCCTTATTAATTCTGCGCTAATGTTGTCTAATCCAGGTGACTTGTTGTTTTTCAGTCTGGTAACTGTTTCATGGAATTCAGCTACGGAAGGGTGGGTTGTTTCTCTGGTATCCGTTTGATCCAGTATAATTCCATTATATAGTGGATTTTCGTTTTTTTTTTTTCAAACTTTTCTTTTAAGAATTCTGTCCATCATAAAACATAATGACGGTACTAGATTTTTGTTTCGATACAGGGCAGAGGCAAGCCGCTTATACATATTTCGAACTCTTTAGGTCTCATCAGAGCGGTATCGCCACTGCACTACTCGCCAGATAGGAAATCGTATGATTGCTCTTTTTGTTAATTATGTCTATCTTTGTAGTATTTTACTCTGTTGAGTTACTATATCTCCTTCTTTGTCTCTGCACATTATTGTTCTTGGTTTAAATTCTTTTCTACTTTTGTTAAGTTTTTTGGTAGAATTTTCTGGTTTCAGATGGTTAATTTAGTTTTTTCATTTCTTGTAGTTTTTTTTCTATGTGTTCTCTTTTCTTTCTGCGATGTATTTTCTTCTCTTCCCCCCTATGTCTCTAGAAATGTTTGTCTCAAAGACAGTATTCATAAAAAAATCGGCACAAAGTAGTAATAAAAGGCACTCATATATCTTGAAGTGGGCAAAAATTTGAAATAGTAGACCATTTCAACTATTCAGGATCATTAGTTACAGAAGGAAATAAAAACAGCAATATGGTAATAGTGAGAATTTCACTTGGAAATAAATACATCAACAGCCTACAGAATATTATAAAGTCAAAATTAGTGTCTATGTATTAACTCAAAAATAAAAATATACACAACAGTTATGAGACCCTTAGTAACGTTTACATTAGAAACATGAACTTTGACTAGTGAAAAATAGGAACAAGTTCTTATATGGGAATGAAAAATTTAAAGGAAACTATATGGACGTATACAGGAGAATGGAGAATGGCTTATAAGAATCAACCACGAAATAAATAGAATATATATAATAGACCGATTATCACAAAAGACATACGAAGTAAACGACTGAGTTGGTTGGGACACATAGAAAGGATGGAGGATAAAAAAAATACAAAAACAGTACTTAGACAAGAATTAAACGGAAAGAGACCGAGAGGCAGACCCAGAAAGAGATTATATTAATGGTATTAACCAGTATTTAAAAGAACTAGGAATACGGGAATGGAAAAAAAGGGAAGGAAAGAAATACATGTTCAACTATAGTCAAGGAAGCAAAATATACATGGCATTGAAATGATCTCAAAGAAGACAAACTAGGAAGTAACGATTTTAAAGATGATGAATGTGAAAAATGATGATGATGTTACTTTTATTTGTTTTCTTTAAAAAATAAAATACTTTTTACTATTTTATATTTTGATTAATCAAGTATTACTGGGTAATAGTTTTCTTTAATATATATTTGTTAAATCCAATACTTACAGTAATCAGCTGGATTGTGATATGGGGGACATTTTAAATTGAGTTTTTCAAAATATGGTACTAAATCGCTAGTCCTTCCGTCATATATACATTTTCCTTCAGATAGAGCATAGAGTTTATCGAACATTTCGAATAGTAAGGCTGAAGGTTGATGGACAGTAGCTATTACGGTCCTTCCTTCTGAGGCAAGGTTTTTAAACAGAGACACGCATTGAGTACACGATAAACTATCCAGGCCCCTGAAATAAGAAAAATATTTCGTAATATAGTTAGAGAAGTTAAAATAAGGTAAAACAATTACCACATGTAATCCTTTAGATTCTAATTAAATCAATTACTATTTAACATGAATAAGCCACAATTAAAGGTTAAAGTAAGTTTATTGACGTTTCAATATAAACTATAAACGGAAATTTAATTAAATCATTGATTTATTAAATTTTTTACCAATTTTACTACAGCCACAATATTTTACGGTATACAGTTTACAGAGTAATTGATAGATAATGTACAAAAACTACCTTAGATGGCTCTAAACTAATTAAACTTAAATATAGTAAACGTAAACGTAGAGGTAAATTAATAAGGACATTTGCAGTGCGTAGAGGGAATAGGTTGAAAATAACACATGGGAGTAAGTGAAACAAGTTGACCAAATTCAGGGAATTTTATAGCAAACGGATATGACGTTTATTTTTTACCAGGACTATATAAATCAAAACGAATTATTAATAATTATGAAATAGCATTTTAGTAAGTATGTCACTTCATCAAAATGTCAAAAGCAGTATTTTTTATACAGCTGAATACCAAATCTATAAATATAAATATAACCCACGTTTTTACTTCTATTGCTGAAGCAGATGAGCAGAAAATTGAAGAGTTCTACTATCAAATAGAAGTGCTAAAAATAACAAAAAAAACACGAAACAAAATAGTTATGGGAGACTTTAAGTCGGACAAAGGTGACGCAAGGCGTCACTGGAAGCTTCATGGCTTCATCATTCAATGGCTTCATCAGTAGGAAACAAGGAGGTAAGCGTCCTAGGTAAGCGTACCTAGTTTCAACTACCAGAAAGGCGTCTGTAAAAGTGAAAATTCCTTTAAGGTAGACAAATAAGAAGAATAGTATGGAATCAAAGATATTACATCTTAATAATAAACCAAATATTTCGAAAAGATGTAAAAACTTATCCTGGCGCTGATATAAACCCAAATCGTCATTACTTTACTCCAAAATAAAGAATAAATTTAAAAGAATTTCAAAACCAAGAAATATATACACCCCCTTAGAACCCTTCAAACACGTGAATACGTAAGTATCACAGCAAATAAATGAAAAAATACACAAAAAAAAAATAATAATATACCAAACAAAAACGTAACCATCAACGAATGTTGGTAAGATATACAAAACTCGATTTTAGAAGTAAGAAAATACCTACTATAATGTCAAAAAATGAGTGGATGACACGGGAAAATTCTAGACCTGATGGAAGTTCGACGGAAACATAAAAATAGAAATATTAACAAATACCACGAAATCAAAAACTCGTAAAAAGAAACATTAATGAAGCCCAACAATTTCGGCTTGGGAACTCATATAAAGAAATAGAAGACCTTAAAAAAAACATGACAGCAACCTTCACAAGACAGGATAATATACCTTCAGAATAAGGAAACTAAAAGATGCTCACGTACTTAAAAACGTAGTTGACAAAATTAGTGATAGTGATCACGAACAATTGTGCAAAGAATGGGCAAGATGCATCTCACCTTTTGACTCATGTCACCTTGACTCATGTCACCTTTTTGACGATGCTTCTCGAGATAATGCTCTTTATACACATACTACCTATGACAACTAAGATCTAAAAATAATTCGAAATCTTTACTGGAATCAGACAGCAAATCTTAGAGTTGAAGGCACAAATCATGTGTGGAGGGCAAAGCTGTATTTTGTCTCCTCTAATCTTCAATCTGTACTGTACTCTGAAAGAATATTTATCGAAGCTTTGCACGAAACTGAAAAAGGTATTCTACTAAATGGTATCCGGCTAAAAAACATCAGATATGCAGATAACGATGTATTGTTACGATTTGTAATGAATATTTGGACATGTGCTTCGAAGAAATGGTCTTGAAAAACTTACCATCCAGGGAAAAGTAGAAGGCAAACGAAATAGAGGTAGATCGTCCACACGATACACGGACCATATTGTTGCTACCATTGGCGCTCAATTGTCAGAATGTGCTAGAATAGCAGAAGATAGAAAAACGTGGAGGAATATTGGGAAATTTAGCTAATAGCTTTATGATATCACGATACCTGCATCAGGTTAACGACTAAGAAGAAGAAGAAGATGCAGATAACACCATAGTATTTGCGGACAACTTAGAAGACCTACAATTTCTTATGAACAAAATCACGTATTACACTCAACAATATGGACTCAATATAAACGTTAAGAAGTCAAAGCTTATGATAATTAGCAAGAAAAGGATAACAGAAGGTCAACTCTACGACAATCCCCTGTAGAAAAAGTAATGCACTAGAACTATCTCGGCACCATAATAAATGAAGAATGGACAAACAACCAGGAGATTAGAGCACGCATCGGAAAAGCTAGATTCACCTTCAATCGGATGGACGCCTTCTTTAAGAGTCACAACCTCTCTCTTGATACAAAAGTAAGAATGCTGAGATGTTACGTCTTCTCTGTCCTTTTTTATGGTGTTGAAGCGTGGACCTTAAACGAAGATCCCGTTAAGATCCCGTGAACTGACCGAGTCACAAATGAGGAAGTCCTCAGAAGAATGAATAAGAACCCAGAGGTATTGACCACCATGTTCGAACATATGCAAAATGAATCTAGATATGCTCTATTTCAAGCCATCCTGCAAGGAAAAATATTTGGTAAAACGAGCTCCAGGAAGAAAAAGAACATCTTGGTTAAAGAACCTTAGAATCTGGTTCAATACAATATCTGTGCAGCTTTTCCGCGCTGCTGCAGATAAGATAAAGGTTGCTATGATGATCGTCAACATTCGTAACGGATAGGCACGTCAAGAAGAAGAACACCTATGGCAACCAGTTAGACGGAGGTCTAAGTATACTGAAATCAAAAGTCAGAAAAGTAATACAGCAAGCCAAAAATAATAAAGCAACTGGACTAGATCAAATCCCTGCTGAGCTACTTAAACTTTTGGGCGAGAGAAACATTATCTACTTAACCACTTTCTTTACCAAAATTTACAACGAAGAAAAAATACCAGATGATTGGTCGCTGTCTATAACATTATCAAATACAGCGACTTTAGACTTTGGATCAATGGTAGTTTTTATGCATTGCTAAATAATCGTTATGTCATTTTTTATTACAAACAGAAGAATTTTTAGGAAGTGTATCTCAAAAGTTAGTTGAAAGTCACTTTCGTACTTATGCTACTCTTTCTTGTTTGTCATTGTCAATTTAGTCAAGAATTGTTAAAGAACTGGTTCACAGCCTCCAACACAGCCTCTAGGTGGGGATAGTGTCAAACCTCGTTACACTAAGACTCCTCATTTTTATGGAGTACCGAAAATTCATAAAACGAATATACCACTTAGACCCATTTGTAGTAACATGAATTCTTCTTGTAGTGAACTATCAAAATTTTTATTAAATATTTTAAAACCATTTACAAATAAAAATGACACATTCATAAAAAATACACAACATTTTTTAAATAAATTATCAAATATTGAATTTAATTCAAATAATACTTTGGTAAGTTTTGACATAAATAGTTTATTTACGAATGTACGATTAAATAAGACTTTAAGTATAGTCAAGACAAAATTAGAGAGTGATGATTCATTGGCAACTAGGACAAGACTAAACATATCGGCTATAATGGTGTTATTAACATTATGTACTGATAATACATATTTTCAACTAAATAATGAATTCTATAAACAAAATTTTGGTCTAGCAATGGGCTCTAGTTTATCTTAATTCTTAGCCGATATATTTATAGAAGATTTTGAAACAAATATCATTTCTAAACAAAATTTAAAACCCACAGTATGGTGGAGGTATGTAGATGATGTATTCTCAATATGGCCTCATGGATCAGAGTTGTTGGACACATTCCTAAATGATATAAACGATAAAGAAGAGACAATAACATTTACCATGGAAAAGCAATATAATAACTCGCTACCTTTCCTGGATGTTTCAATCTCTAAGAACGATACTGGATATGAGACTCAGGTGTATAGAAACCCAACACACACCTATAGATATTTAAATTTCAAATCAAATCACAATATTATTGTAAAAAAGGGAATTATTAAATCCTTATTGCGATAGAGCCAAAATTACTTGTTCTAACGAAAATTCGTTCTTGGGGGAGAAAAATGTGTTAACATCTGTTTTGTTAAAAAATTATTATCCTTTATCGTTTATAAATAAGGAATTTTCAACAATCGATCGAATAGAACAGAACAACTTAGAACGAGATAATACGAGGAAAATAACAATACTGTACATAAAAGGATTATCAGAAAAACTTAAAAGGATAGGCAATAAATTAAACATTTCAACAACATTCAAAACAACAAACACGTTGAGATCTATTTTGTCCAAAACCAAACCTAACAGTGAACAAGAAAGGACAAAGAATTGCATTTATAAAATACCTTGTGAATGCGATCAGTTTTATTTAGGTGAAACATCAAGGCCATTAACTGTTAGAATAAGTGAACATCAATCTTATATTAAAAATAGAGAATTTGACAGATCTCAAATATGTAAACACGCATGGGATAATGAACATAGGGTTCAATGGAATAATTCAAATGTAGTTCTAAAAGAAACGGATGGTAAAAAAAGAAAAATCAAAGAAGCGGCTCTAATTATGCTAAATGAGGCCAATTGTGTCGCAAATTCCTCGGCAGAATGTAGTAGTATCTGGTTACCAATATTGAAAGAGGAAGTTATTAATAAAAAAATATCAGTATTAGTATGTCAGTAACATATAGGGGATACATCATTTGTGTTTTTTAAATAACGAAACGTATAAAATCAGAATTTTGGTGTTTATTGAAGGTAAATTAAATGCACGAACAAATACTTATCATGTCGGGATAGTATTATGAGGTTTTTTTCCTGGTTTTTCCCTCATAATTTACTATGGAATCACTAACAGGAGAATTTTACTGTCATCATGTCATGTGTTTGTCTTTTTAAAGACG